GTTCCGCTTGGGCGTTACTCCACAAGACAACTATTTAGGTAGGAACATAGTTCCAACTGATGAGCCGGGCTCTCAGCTCTTGGTCTGGTGTTGGGCGAACAATATTACTACAACCGGACCAGGACACCTTTTCACCATACTTGTAATTGGCTGAGGCACGTCTTACAAGCAGACTACTTTGGTTAGGAACAGAGTTCCAATTAAATCATAAAGATCCAACTCCTGGCTGGATGAGTGAGTAAAATCATTCGACTTGTCATTGATGACCCCAACTTACTACCTCTGAGTCGTCCATCCATTTGACCGAGACTCAGTTAAGTCTAACCCAACGTGCGACAGCGACCATGCTATGGCGGTTCCCGTAACCAGCTTAACATACACCGTACTATGCTCTGCTGAGGCTGAGTACATGACAGGCACATTAACCGGATAGGTGTCGGGCGTCAGAAGGTAACAGACTTAATATTCGTGAGGGATTTATAATTTCGATCTCACCTATCGACATGGCCGCGCACATGTCTATTACTAGCGTTCAACATACATTCAACATGCATTCACAAAACGTAGTAAATAAACGTGTAATGATTGTGGCCCCTAAAAAAAATAAAACGATAGCTCCCACTGGCTTCCGGGCACTTGGACTTCGGGCTATCTCCATTCTTTTAGATTTGTCCAAACGGTCTTCAAATCTTTTCATCTTCAAACCACCACGTGAGAAAAGAATCCTCGGTTGAGGTAAGAGAGAGAAATAGATTTACAACAAGAGTTTAAGAGATAAGGCACGACACGCAGGCCGTATTATAATCAAATAAACTATAGCCACAATTATCCACCATGCATATGATACATCCACACAAGCAATAGAGATATACATACACCGGGTGAACCGCGCTCACCCCAGACAGTTCTAAAAAAAATACTACGGCAGCAAATATTTTCTAAAACTCATAAAATTAAATTAGATGTCCAAATAAATCTAATAAAATTTTATAAATTCATTTTATATACTTTGGATATTCTGCCAGCATAAAAAAAACATCCAGAATATTCTAAATGACCAAAATGCCCCTTTTGCAAAATTATATTCAAAAGGCCATTAAAATTTTGAAACAATTTTGCAAAAATCATGAAAATTAAATTTCAACTTCAAGTAATTATTTTCAACATTTATAAACCTGGAAATAAAATTTCCAAAATTTATAAATCATTATTTCCAAAATATATTAGTTAAATCTCAATAAGTTATAAAAAGCCATTTAAATTGATTTCGAAAATATTAAATTACAAAAATTTAATATTTTGAAAAATATTCTTTTTCTTACTGAGATATAACTTTCCAAAATATATATTAGTCATTTATGTAGTTAAAATACAAATATATAAATATATATAATATTTCGGTAATAAAACCGAGTACATATATAAATATATATTTATTTAATTACTAACTAATATTATTTTGAACAATATATTTATCAACAACCTTATTCAACTTAGAAATAATATTTCCAAGTTTAATAAAGTTCATTTTGAATTTTCCATATTTATTTTTGGTTTTCACCTAAATAAATACAATAAATTCAAAATAGGAAAAAATGCATTCAAAAATTACAATATAATTTTATCAATCATAAAATGATGTTTTATGTCCAAATAAATTTATATTTACTATTTCTAAATATATATAAATATATATTTCGAAAAATCAAAATATATATATTTATATATATATATTACGTGTAGAAATAAAACAAATAAATTTAAAATTCATTTTCAATGATTTATTTAAGTCCAATAATTATTCCAAGACTAAATAAAATCATTTTACCAATTTTTGAATTTTCATAATTACCAAGTTAAAACTTTGACTTTTAAAATTTTAAAAGTCAAACGTAAAACTATAGTTTTGTACGTTGGCTCTGATACCACTGAAAGGTAACCATGCAAGGATAGGCAGCGGAATATAAAAAATTTTAACATCCTAACATGATTATCTTGCCCAGAATCACGTACTAAAACCTATAGTGAGTAAGAAATTTATACCTTTCTCCGTAAGCGGTAAAAACGAAGAAGTCGTAGGAAGAGCGTTGAAAGTGCAAACGTAACCGTTCAAGCGTCCGGTCTCCAACTTTGACACACGAACAACGCCGGAGTCTACCATAATCTTTATGCTAGTAAAGACTATAGTAGTATAAAATATAAAGATTAAAATTGGGATAATAATAATCTTGTATATTTCTATAGAAAATATTTCTAATAATATTTAGAAAATATTATAGATATTTTCTATACACAAAATGATATTAATAGAACACAAAAGATAAACTTTCTCTCTTTAAAATGTAATGGCCGAAAGTTTCTTCTCACACCTCAATTAAAAGTGTTGTCTCATTATATGGAGTGTTAAAGAGGATTTAAAACAATTATACACTTAATGACAAGTTAGGAAATTTCCTACATCTTTAAAATGCAAAGTCAAAAGTGTTTTTGTCCTCATAAACATCACATTGCCGTAATTGAAGATTTGAGGAAGTGAGAAGGATTTTCAAAATTCTT